TTTCGAGGATCCTCAGTCGAGATAAAATATTTTAGATTTTCCATCATTGATATGTCGAAAGAAAAATTTTTCTTCGAGACACGATTATCCTTGAGGATAAGATAGACAAGCGAAGAGAGCCGTCAAAGATAAAGAAACCGGAATACACGAAGCGAGAATATAAAAACAATGGAAGTTACGGACATGAGGGAAATAAGTACGAAATGCAGACCTTGCAAGTAAGAAGGTTGGTCCTCTTGGAAAAATCACGCGAGGTATGTGAGAGAGAGAGAGTGAGAGAGAGAGAGAGAGAGAGAGAGAGAGGGAGGGAGAGAGGAAGGGAGGGAGGAAGAGAGAGAGAGAGAGAGAGGTCCGGTTTTACTCGACTGAATCGATTCGCAGAAAAATCAACACGAGCTCATGGGCTACCAGGATATCCTGGTGGACCGATAACGAAGAGAAGAAAATCATCGGCTTGAAATAATTTAAATTTTAAATTCACAAATGATCTTTAAGAAGGGTCGTCAACCTCTATCTAATCAAGATCTCGATACGTCCTTGATGGAATCCCGGACGTAAGCAACTTCAGTCGTTTTCGGTCAACGACTCCTACGTTTTATATATTCTCAATGTATCTTTTTATAATATCGTTAAATAATATACAATTGAACGTTTATTCACCGCTAAAATATAATATTTCTAAAAAAAAATATATCGTTTCATCCGAATAAACGTTCTTTAGGATATTAAAAAATCACGCTAATTACTCCAATATGCAATAATTAATTTATTTAAACTCATATAGACTAGCTAGTTAAATCGTTAAGGACTTGCGTGAGGATTAACAGAAGTTTTAGACTTTTTGTTTTTATGTAAATTTCAATAAACAAGCGAGATTACGATTCGTCATTTACTCGATCTACTCGATCCTGACGAAGCTGTAGTATATAACCAGACAGGGTGTTACTACTGAACAGACCTGTATCCGAAGGTCTTTCGAAGAGCACGGAAGTCTTCTACTATATAAACCTTGGAGAACCTCATCCGTGCAGATCAGTCGCAGATTCTCAAAGCGCAGCTGGGAAACGAAGAAGCTCCGACATGTTCAAGCTGGTGAGCCGATTTACAAAACAATTGTTTAAATGAAAAATGCAAACCCTGATGAAAATATCTAACGATGTCCGATATTTTCAATTTCCATTTATACGATTCCAAAAATTTCTCCATACGTCGGACGACTTAGATCGAATTATTTATAAATGGATTCTTCAAAAATATAAAAAGAAAAGTCATAAATTTAGAGAAATCAGAACAATTTGTTTTATTCACAGGTGGTCCTATCCTGTCTGTTGGCCGTTGCGCTGGCGAAACCAAGCGAAATCGTGCCAGCTATCGTAGGAAATCTCATATCCGAAAAGAGCATCGAATCCCACGGGAACAGCGTGGTTCATTCGGTCGCGCCGGTGATTGGACCGGCCGTTCCATTGGTAAAAACCATCGAACCGGTGTTACCGGTGGCCAAGGCTGCGGCCATTGTCGCTGAAAAAACAATAGAATCTCACGGACATTCGATCGTACATCATTCAGCACCGGCAACGGCCGTTTCCTATTTAACACAGGCTACTCCTGTTGTTTCAGCAGCACCAATCGCGATAACTGAAATCAAACATTTGTCAGAGAAATCTGAGAAAAAAACGCAAGAGACCTTGAAGAAATTGGAATCCTCTGAACAGAACAAACAGTTACTCGAGAACGTTGGTCGACAAGCGATTAATACCAATGTTTCCAACGTTTCAACGACACCGGCAGTAGCCGTTAAGGCTTCAGAAAGAACGGAGCAATTATCCGAGTCTCAAGAAAGAAACGAGTCCGATAAGAGCAGGCAACTCTCGGAGAAAAGCGAATCTTATGGACAACTCATCCTTCATCAACAGACTGCACCTGCGACTCTCTCCTACTTGGCAGCTACTCCCCTCGTTTCTGCTTTAACACCCGTAGCACCGAGCGTGATCACTCATACCTCGAAGGCCGACAACGTCGTCGAGAAATCGGAATCCCTTCAGACGAAGCAATTGACGGAGAAATTGGAAGCTCTCGAGAATAGTGCGATCCAGGAGGCTGTACCTTTGTTACACGCTACGTTGCATGCTGCACCATTCGCTTACGCAGCCTCTGCCCCTGCTGCACATCTTTATTATTATCCTTATTCAGCCGCTGTACTCGCTGAAAAATCCATCTCCAGTTATGGCCATAGCATCGTTCATGCCGCTTAAAAAAATCATCATTATCAAGGATTCTTCCGTTATAAGCTAAATATCTTTTTCGTTTATCGTTGACCCTACACTTTTTAACGATCACGTTCAAAACGATAAATTGACGAACCAACGTACAACAATGCCCTCGTCAAAACTTCTTCTTTGCGTATGGACCACCTAGCTAGCGAACTGTCGAACTCTACTCAATTGGTGATTCCTTTCCTTTGTTTTTCATTTTTTTTCTCGAGTCTTTCTCTTTAAATACTCTTATTAATTTTATTATTTTCACCTCTGAGACGATGCATTCTTCTATGCGCATTATTCGTTAGATGCATAGAGGAGCTCGAACGAAGTTCTTGAGTCCTTGCATATTTTCGAATTTTCAGGCGCAACGAGAATCGTCCTCGTCTTCGAGGCTCGCATGTTGAAAATCTTTCACGATCATCGTCATTTCCAGGACAAAGGAGGAGCCTAAAAACTGGCTGCCCGACTGCGACTCGATATGCTTTATATTATTTTTTAAGTATTAGCCTTAGGTACGAAACGTCGATACTTTTGTGTACGAAAAGAAAAAGGACAAAAATCAAGCATTGTATACGTACTACTTCATGCTTTTATGATTATTATACTTCAATACATTTATCATTAGAACGATTTTACGTTCTTAAACCTTTTCTAATCCCTTTTTATAAAGTATCAAGGATTTACAATAAAAGTTAAATCTAACTATACAACCTATAATACGTCAGAACTAACGTATAAAGTATATCGATTAAGTGGGGAGAAAAAGTAGTTAGGGAGACCATCGTCAAGGCCATCCTCGATGCTTCCGCTAAACGATTTATTTCTTTGATATATGTCGTTGGCCGTGTTGTAACTTCATTTACAAGAATTTCGACCTCGAAGTGGAAAGTGACGAATTTAGTTCGGCCGATCAACGAAAAAGCCGTTTCACGGTCCATAGCACGTCTCTATCGATCGAATTGAAAAAAAAAAAAAAAAGAAAAAGAAAAAAAAGAAACGTAACGTTCCGAGTTATGCGACTACCGAGCAAAGATTCGCTCTGAAAACGTCGCAAATAAATCGACGTTTCGAATGAATCGATTCGTCGAATCACTCTTGTAATTGTCTATCACCCGTGAAACCCGATAAAAATGTTCGAACGATTTTGATAATCGCAACGTCATCCTCGATGATTCTTTAGAATATGTTCGTTTATATTTCTCTCGATTATTCGTCTCGAGAATTATTCTTTGAGAATCGGCTTCGAGCGCTCGAAGATACAGACAATAGTTCGTCGGGTATGGTAAAATCGAAGGATGTTGGTACTCGCCGATCCACGATCGTTACGAGTTACGATCCGCAAACTGGTCACGAAGATAGTCCGTATTTTTCTGGTCTGACTAGGCACGCCCTTATCCCTTCTTTCAAGCCAACCGAACCATCCACCCGTTCGGAAGGAAATATCGGCAGGTAGTAAATCCACAGCGACGTCATTCTTTTCCTTTTTTTTTTTTTTTTACTTTTTCTTCTTTACTTTTGGTTTTCTTTTTTTTTTCTTTTTTCTTTAGTTTTCATCCTCGTCGAATAATAAAATTTCCGTCATATTCTCTCGTTGAGAAAATAATAATATATTTATAGTTAATAATAAATTTGTATTGTACTATTGTCTGGAGGGAACATTTTTTCTCTTTCTTTCTTTTTTATTTTTTTTTTTGGTTTTGTTTTTTTCGTGCAAAATTTTTCACTTCTTTTCACATCTTTCTTCCCTCCCTACCACTCCAGTTGTTAAACTCCAGAAACTTTATCGGCCAGGTATGCTGTTCCTTCCCGAGTACCCGTTCCTGTCTGACTTATGCATTGACTGGATCGCCAGTTGTAAAGCCGCATAAGGATATCTACGAGTATCCAAGGTCTCGGGTGAACGAACGTGGAGAATTGCGATGTACTTCGTCTCCTCTCGGAGTTTTTGTAGAGGCTCCTACTCGACCTATCAACTTCTTCTGCCTCGTTCGTTTTCAGGAATCCTGATAGCCGCATTTACGAGAGAACGTACTTACCGATGGAATTACAGGAGGAAAATATAGGCCAGTCGCCATAAAAAGGAAATACGAGACATGATTAATCGACAATTTATATGTATATATATATATAAAATCCTTCGACGGTATTAATTTAAAAATGGTATTATCTGCCTGCAACTACGAATAATGTTAACTCGACGAATATTTTAATAATTAAATAGCTTTATGTAACACCAACCAGGAGATACATCGAGTAATTGGACAAATGTCCTCCCGTTAATATTAATTAATCGATATTCGAGTATATACGTATGTACCAGTTATGATCCCGATAAAGATCGTTTTGTTCGATTGAGCCTACACCCTTCAAATTTACATCGTTCTCAGGTAATCTTAATTTTACTGTCATTCGATACCAATCTGTCATTAATTTAATACTTACCTTGATGTTGTTTTGCAGTTGATTAATGTAAAAAAAAAAAAAAAAAAAAAAAAAAAAAAAAGAAGTCACATTTAAAGAACGTTGTAACGTTGCTCGCGTATAACTATCTTAAGAAATTGAAAGTGAGTCGAAATACCGGTTCTTTGGTAACTTAATCGTCAATTAATCGAGTCGTACAGCGATACGTTGTACCAACCACTAGATTGATCTTGGCGATCCCTCAAGATCACGGCCCAACGATCTTTTTACTCGATTACTCTTTACTCTAATACTCAAAAACATACTTTTATTCGATTCTACGTAGGATCTAAAGGAACGATAATCACCGAAAGCAAAAAGGAAGTAAAAGGATGAAAATGTGATCGTGCATATCCCTGTTTAGAAAACTATTCACACGCAACAGTGGTATCTGGTACCAGAAAGGAATGCGCCGTGTGCGTAGGGACGCTTCTCATAGGTACTGGACGAGTCTACTTTTTTCATTGGCCCTCGCGGAACCCCTATAAGTACGAGAGGGCTTGAGCGTTCTCGCACAGAAATACAGAAGAATCATCGAACGCACTCCTACGGGTTCATCCTCTTCAAAATCCGCCAACATGTTCAAACACGTGAGTAGAAATCGATCGATTTTACATAATACATTGACTGACATATTATTTATTGTAAATGTATTATTAACGAAATTCCAAATTGTTCGAGCGTTATTTCCTATTTGCGTAAATGAAAAATATTGAAAAAAGGGATTGATATGTTCACAGTTAATTTTGATTGCGCTAATTGGCTTGGCCTGGTCCGCCCCAGCACCTGCACCCAAACCAGCACCAGCACCAGCACCGAAACCTCTCTCGCTGATAACGGACATCAAAACACCAGCGTCCACCGCTAAATTGACACCTCTTGTCGCACCGATCGCTACGCCTCTAATTTCATCGATTTCTCGCGTAGCACTTTTACCCCAAGTACGTACTAGATTTAGTAATTGAATTTGTAATCTTATCACTTCTTCTTCCTTGAAATTTTCTACATATGTTTATTCCACCAGAGACTTTCCATCGATTTCTCGGATCACCTATTAAATAATTAATCCGATAAATGTATACGGTCTATTCAATGACGTTGAACGAATACAATCCGCATTGAATAATTAATAATCTGTTACTTTTACGTAATAACAATATGTCAGAATTGTTTACTCATTAACTGAAAAATGTATTGATAACCAATCTGTCGTCCAAATGAATCGTTCGATTCAATTAATTGCATATATTGTCTTTGTTAAAATATCAATGAATCTTGCTTCTTCGCAGTTGACACCGTACGCCTACGCTTATCCAGCAGCACTCGCGCCTGTAGAAATAGCCGCAGCACCTTCCACTTATTCGATCGAACAGCACGGATACCACATTACCTACTGATTCTTTTATCACCACCTTGAATATTGACCTAAGTTAAAGCATGAACATTACAGAGAACTACCTTACCTTTCACCAATAATTCATTCATGTATCGCATATTGATAAAGTCATTCACGCGAAACAAATATTAGAAGAAAAAAAGCACAAAAAAAAAAAAAAAAAAAAAACAAAAAGGAAATTAATTTATGACATTTCTTTTATTTAACATTATTTAATGACCATTATTATCCGATCGAAGTTCCATCGCTACGTTGTCCTTACAATAGAAAATATCCTTCATTGTCCTTACAGTAGAAAATATTCATCTTTTTTGTAAACTTGAAAATATTAAAAAGCGGTCTTACGTTCCTATGAATAATTCACAGGAAAAATAAATAAAAGAAAAGGCATTGAACCGAGAATAAGGATGACGAGTCCGTTTGACGAGAGAAGAAGCTAACTAGAGTCCATAAAATATATCTCGTATAGAAAAAGTCTCGTCCTTGTTCCCCATTTTATACATGAAAGCATAAATAGGAGTTTGAATCACAAAAGTTCAATGATAACAGTGTCGCTGATCACAGGATGCGATGAAAAGGAAAGTGAAAAGATCGGAAACTTTCTCGAGAACATCGGAACTCTTAACACGTTCGTCGACGTCATTGTACCTTGAACGGACTCGTCGTTACATAATATTTGACATAAACGCCAGTCTAACAATGTTTTCGACAGAAATTGTCCGTCGATCATAAGTCCCATAAATAAGAATCGTAGAAAATTAGAAAAGAGAAAAAGGAATTTATTTATTAGTATTATTTTTTCTTTTTTTTTTTTTTTCTATTCCGTTATTACTCAAGTTTGACGAACACGAACAAACGCCTTCGTCGTTTGTCGTAAATAGGTCAAGACAATCTTACCTTCATTTTTTTTTTTAACATGCTAAAGAGGAATACGTCATACAAAAATTCTCAGAGATAGTTACAACATGTATCGGAATAAAGCACACGACGGGAAAATCCCTGTTGTGCAAGATAGAACGAACGAGTGCATCGAACTAAATCGACCGGCCAACCGATAACAAAACCGGCTCCGCGATCCTTTTTTCTTCATTCTTTATTTATTTCTCTTTTTCTTTCTTTCGAGAGAAAAATGAATGAACGAAGTCAAATTTTTTGTTCTGATAAACGTTACGTGAAAATACTCGATAATAATCTGGATTTATATTTTACTTATCAAACGACAAAGGAGTAATGTTTATGAATCGTTCATAATGTCAAATATATCCATAATGTATTCGTAAAAGCGATCTCTATTCGAATATTATTATTACACTCGGTTAGCTCTGAGACATCCTCAGGAATACTTTCTCCCGGAACCTGAAATACAAACACTAACCGCAGGAACTCCGATTCTGCTTCGGTTTAAGTCAACTTGCTATTATGCGTGAAAAATGTTTAAACATTTTTTCAATCTTATTGAAAAATTTATTTCGATATTTTTTAACTTTTTCTTAGAAATCATTTGAAATTATCAAGGCGACTATTTACTGTCCGGTCGAATTTCAGGCAGGATGATGTCAAGGTTAACGAAGAGGATCACTGAAAAGAAAGCGTACGCCGTTCGTCTGTAACATCCATGAATTGTTTTTTTTTCTAGGTAGTAGATACGCACGTGTATAATGTTTCCTGAGGAGACCTGAACTGCACGGATATACACCGACGAACTTTAATGATCTCTCGGTTCCGCTCTTCTACCTGCGATCAAAAATGAAACGTATAAACGAAACGAACGATACGAAATTTCACTAGACTTCCATTCATAAGACCTTGAATCTTTGAAATCGATCTCGTGCAAAATGCGATTTTATTACATTGTTAATCGTTAATATTTAAAAAATTGCGAAATTATCTTATAATTATATCATTTCTATTTATTTTGACAATATTTTGTAAAATAAATGATCATATATATGTTTGTGTGTAAACAGTAGTATTTATAACAAAATATCAATGGATAATATAAATATATAATGAAATCTCAGGATTGATACTGATTGATTGATACTGATCATCTATTTAAATTATTACATTCACAAATATTTCAATTAAAATATTAACAATTCTTGTATTGATCGATATCACTAATATTACATATCGATGTTTCATTAAAAAAATTTATTTAAAATATTAACTAAAACATTTTGTTAAATATTGTTCGAATAAATAGCAGCCTAATCATATTATATTATCATATTTCGTAATATAAATATAATGTGGACCCAAATTTTAACTCTTTACGATCTTTAAAGTTAATTTCATAAATAATAATTTAAATAATAATTAAGCATACAATGTAATCGTGTAAAAATTCGTTGTAAATTTTTCGATAAATCAAAAGGGGTTGCGACAAATAATTCCACTTAAAAACGAATCCCAAAGACGGATGTTCGTGTAAAGAATGAGTCACGTAGATTTACCCCACCATAACGTTCCAATCGCGTAGCTGCCTCAGCATCCCCGAAAGAGGTACGAAAGTATATAAGATTCGAGCGGTCTCGGTAAAAGCACAGACCAGTGTTGTATACGGAGAAAGTGTTCGTGGTGAACAGACATCGTAAGACGTTCACAAGGTGTCTCAGAAATTCCGTATTATTCTCAGCGTGTTCATTAAAAACAGGTATATAAAATAAATTCAATATAATCGAATCAATATTATCATTAAAAATATTACAATTTTATAATAAAACATTAAGATTTAATTATTCGTAAAAATAATTCATTATAAATTTAATTATAGCGAATAAATGATATGAGACTTTGTGTATCTAAAAATTAAATTAATATCGATTTAATTTACAAATCGATGATAGAGAGATATTGTTATTTTATTTTTTGACGATAAAAGAAAGCAAGAAAGAAGATATAAAGAATTACCTATACGTCGGAGTTCAATGATTTCTTAACTTTCTCCTTCTCACTGTATGTCACATGTAAGAGTTGTCGATATTGTCTGAGAAAATAGCCATTGTGTGTTAACGATCAACGTTTAACACAATGATTTCTTTTCGTGACCTATATATATATAGATAGATACATATACCTTCAACTATCTTACTTTTCTCACTCTCTCAACTTTTTTATTTTATCATTGCTTATGTTCCGGTAAAAAAGACAAAGACCATCGAGAACGTTTAATTCCGTTATTACGTAAGAACTTTCTCCAGTCAAAATAACGTCTTAAAGAATAAATGAAACATTCTTCTTCTTGATATATACCATATAAAAAAAGATACATACATATATGTATACATATATATATATATATATGATATAGCTCTACGACCGGTTAAACGACTTTCTCTCAACTTCCTCTTACTTTCGTTGACCCTATCGGTTACAGGATCGCATCATCGTTCGTTTTTAAACTGATCGTACTTTTCACATCCAATTAATACCTAATAAAAAAAAGGCTGTTCATCTGTTCTACGTTAATTACTCGTTATAATATATTAACGATCAATTTGTTAATATCAAAAAGTAAATCAAACTCTTTCGCGAATTTGTCGAGATAAATTCTAATTAAAAGCAAAAAACAAAGAATATTCGTTAATCTTTAAATTCGTATCTCTTGATCTTCGATCTCATTTTCTTTCTTATTTTCTTTTTTTCTCCTTTTTTCTTTTTATCTACAAGTGCATCTTTCTCGCGTCAGTAATACATTCACCGGTTAATAAAACCTGATCGGAGAAAGGTAAGATGCACTTTCACAAGACTTGTTTGGATTAAAGAAACGACGTAGTAGACGAACGGTAAAACCCAGATCGTTAGTGGGCGTCCACGAATTTGGTAATCTTAACCATATAAACATTATGTAAATCGTACGTTTAGCAATTTGAAATTAGCACTTAGGTATTACGAACGACTATGTACGAACATATTTAAAAAATTCATAGGAATGACGGAAGAAAGAAGGAAAGAAGTTGCGTCAAAAGTGACTAAAAAAAAAATATATATATAGAATAAATAATCATTAAGATGTGATATGAGATATCAGATTATTATTGCCTTAAAAATGCAACAAAACTTGTTTTGTACTTTCTTTTTAAACACGATCGAACTATCAGATCATACCTACGCATAAACATAATTATGAAGAACGTTATGAATCCTCGAGTATAAAGAACTTTCTAATGATTTAAATAAATAGATATCCATCGAAAAATGAAAGCTACGAGTATGTAAAATAATTAAAGGATGGAAATGATCGAGTGAAAATTAAATTATTTTATTTTGTTTCGTTTTTTAGAATGAAAAGCTGGCCCATTCTGTTAGCGTGTCTAACGACATGCACGCTGGCGACTCAAGTGACATATCAAACGTCATCTTCATCACAGAGTTCCAGCAGTACGAATCAACAACAGCAACAATGGTCTTGGCAAGGTCAAGATTTACTTGGTGCTCCTAACACGCAAGAAGAATCTTATCATCCTGTTTCGTTCACTGCACCCGATGCTGTCAAACAAGAACAGTCGCAACAACAGCAACCATACAACCCTAATGTTCAATCGCAATCGAGCGGAGTCGCCGAAGCACTCGATCAACGAACGGTAAAGAAAATATTAATAGTTCAAATATAGTAGGAGATAAGTAAATATAAAGAAAGAAAAATAAATAAATAAACGAAAATGTTTGATTTTCAGGTAGATTCTGTGATCGATAATATTCTCATCTATAATCGACAGGGACGCAATCTTGAAGGATACGATGAGCTCTATGCCGATCCAGACGTGAAAAATGCTCTTCAATTAGGGAACGATACCGTAGCACGTAGTTACATCAAAGAGAAACTATGCTCTCTCGGTCTTATGAACGTGAGTTCGATCATTTTTCATTTGATTAATATTTCGATGCTTTATAAACATTTAAAAACATTTTTTTTTGATCGATATAGTGCGAAAATCTAGAAGGTCGTCGTCCATATTACTCGCCTCACCGTGATATCCATCCTCATGACGTGATCTATGCTCAACCCGTGACGATAAAACCCGTTGGTCGTCCGTTACCAGCTGTGCCTGTGAAACGACCATATAGATTTGGAAAACCAGAATCACTATCGCCTGGTTTCGCTCCTGGACCAATTTTGTCAGGGCCACCGCCGTCTTTCATTGGAGCTGGACATGGGCCAATCTACTCAAGACCACCATCAAGCTTTCTCGGATCACAGATAGGTCTAAAGAAACCCGGTGGTGGACCGATCTACGCTACGAAACCAATTTATGAGCCTGGCTTGGACGCTGAGGTCGATTTCGAGAATAAATATCTAAATAAGAAACAAGTGATCCTACAGCAACCAGGTGGTCCCGTACAACAACACGTTCATCATCACTATCACCATGGAGATTCGATCGATAACGTTGGGTCAACTCCGATAATTGGACCTGGACCTATTGGTAACAATGGTTTTAACGCTTATGGCTATGGCAACGGTGGTTCTTACGCTGGCACCATTAACGATTTCGAGGACTATAGAAAGAACTTTAAAATCAAGACATCTAGCTCGGGTAACAATTTGAACGAAGCCGCATCGTCTAATAGTTACGCGAATGCTTTCTCAACTTACGAAAAAGTGAAGGGTGATTCCACAGTCGGTGGATCTAATTCATTGCATACAGGAAAACAATATCCTGGTTTCGGTGCAAGCAATCCTTACATAGTCAATAATAATTTTGCTTCGAATGGTAATAACTTTGCCGGTAATCTTGGATCACTTGAAAATGCTTTCAACAATGGATTGTCCTCGTCGAGTTACGAAGACTGCGTGTGCGTACCTTACGAACAATGTTCAACCATCGACCATGTTGGTCGCAAGGACGATCTTTACCTGGCGATCGATCCTCGTAATCTTGGAAAAAATATCGAAGCTGAAACCGTTGAAGTTGTTGTCACCGATGGAAATGGTACAATGAGTATCGTAAGAATCCCGAAAGGAGTAAACGCAACTAATAGTCTTGACCATCGCAAAGAACAAGATAACAACGGTGAAATATCAGATTCCGAGGAAAATAATGATTTCGTTGCAAGTGACAAGAGAACGAAGAGAGATACCACAAAGAGGGCTGAACAGAAGGAGGAAAATAAAGTAGAAGCTCAAAGCGTAAGTTCAAACAAATTTTTATCGTATTATATTTGAAGACGAGCTATCTGTTCGTAGCGAGAATTGGCGAAATTCTACACTTTCCCTTTCTCATACTCTTTATATCTTTCTTTATCTTTATTCGTACACATGTATTTTAATATGTTTGATGAAATTTAATAGTACGAAGAAAACGAATGCTCGCCTCGAACCGAATGCTCGGAAATTCATTATTATTTCGATATATCCGATGATTAACGCTTTAACAGGCTTCCGTTCGACGTTATTGAGGTGGGTTATAAGAGATCCGAGTTTCGATCAGAGTTTCGATCCGAGTTTCGATAAATGTAAAAATCGCTGATAAAATATCGATAAGAGAAAGGGAAAGAAACGGATCGTAGAGCTGCTAACATTTAGGGCGTCTCTTCTAAAGAAAAAAAAAAAACAAAGAAAAAAATAAAAGCTCGGATCTCTAAGTGACTCTTCGACTCTCTCGTTGCAGAGATTGGTCGTTGGCGATCTGGACACCTCGAAACTAAACGTGAAGCCTACTTGGGGCGTTAGTTTTGGTCTGCCTCAAAGCTACATTAATCCGACAAATCCATTCGGTGATGGATACGTTGGACAGGGCATAAATCTCGGTTTGGTATCCGTAAATCCTTTGGTGGCCGTTCAAGTTACCAAGGATGAGTATGGCGAGAAAGTGGTTAAACCACTGGTGAATCTCCACGTAACACCAAACCCAGGACTCGTTTATAAGTTGGGACATTTGCTTGCTCATAAGAAAGAAAATTTACTAGGCAATTATGCACCAGAGTATTATCCAGCAGGGCCAGTGGTTTACGAAAAACCGATTCATCATTATCCCTCCAAACCCTATTACCCAACGATCCACGAGAAACCCTATCATCAGAATTACTATCATTCCTCTTATCATAACAGTCCTCACTATCAAAGTGGTTATCCCGATAATTATCGTGATGACGACGATTATGATTACGAGCCAGACAGTTTGGAAGATTATAACGATTATTATAGAAATGCTCGTACCAATGCGTCCTACGACGATGATCCTCAAAATTATCCTATCTCCGCGAAGAATTCATCGAACGGAAAGCAAAGCAGAAAGATTGTTTTTCGAGATAGAAAGAAGCGCGACGTGAAAACGATCGTTGAAACGGAGGAGGTAAGAGCTTGAACGTTGAACCATCCTCCGTATCAGATTCACCAAAGTGTTGCAGGATCATTAGAGAAACAGCACGATTACCAATACCTGACGAGAACCAAATGACGTGATATCGAGTAACGCAAGAATACATCGTCATTATTGTCTCGCACTAGTGTACAAACCATTTAAGTATAAAGGCTTCATTCATGCAACCATTTTAAAATATCCTTCGAGACACAATTACGGACATAATCATAATTATTTATTAAAGATCAAATAAATAAATTAATAATATTACCTTCATACATATTATTTTTTTTTTGTTTTGTTTTTTCTTTCCAATAGAGACAATTTGGTCGTCCACCAGTATGCGGTCCACGTCATGTATGTTGCCGAAGTAGCCACATAATTGGTTCGCGACCACGACCTGGCCAATGCGGTACCAGATACACGAAAGGCGTTAACGCTAGGATCAAAACGCCAGCTTACATCGACGGAGATTCTGAATTCGGTGAGTCTTTGGTTTAAAAGTAAGATAAAAACATTGTAAATAAAAATAATAAATATGTATCATACATATATTGATCCATACATATATTTAGGTGAATATCCTTGGCAAGTGGCTATATTGAAAAAGGATTCTACCGAGAGCGTTTACGTATGCGGTGGAACATTGATCTCTCCCCGACATATCATTACTGCTGCGCATTGCGTGAAAACCTATGCTGGACGTGATTTGCGAGCTCGTCTAGGTGAATGGGACGTCAATCACGACGTAGAATTTTATCCATATATCGAACGAGATATCGTTAGCGTTTACGTACATCCCGAGTTCTATGCTGGCACTCTCTACAATGATATCGCCATCCTAAAACTCGATCATCCAATCGATTTCGATAAGAATCCACATATCACTCCTGCCTGTCTTCCAAACAAACGTGACGACTTTAACGGAGCAAGGTATGTGGAACACTATTTGATAATAATTTCAACTAGGAACATCGTTTACTTATATGTATATATTGTATATATATCTTCTTATCTCTTTAGATGTTGGACGACCGGTTGGGGTAAAGACGCTTTCGGCGAGTTTGGCAAATATCAAAATATTTTGAAGGAAGTCGACGTGCCTATAATAAATAATCAAGTCTGTGAAAGTCAAATGAGAAGAACGAGACTCGGAACAAGCTTTAATCTTCATCCTGGCTTTATCTGCGCCGGAGGTGAGGAAGGCAAAGACGCTTGCAAAGGCGACGGCGGTGGTCCCATGGTATGCGAACGCAATGGACAATGGCAACTTGCTGGCGTCGTTTCCTGGGGCATTGGATGTGGTCAAGCGGGTGTTCCTGGTGTCTATTCTCGCGTTTCTTTCTATCTCGATTGGATACGACAAGTGATCGATCAATATTAACCACTCATTGAATTTAATTATTCTTCTCGAAATAAGTTCTCGGAGTCGAATTCCCTATCGAAAAAATATTGTGAAACACGTCATTATTACTATTATTTATTTTGATAGACCTACGTGAACGAAATCGTCTCTCTCGAAGTTAAATTTCATTTAACCTATTGCTTTTATTATTTTTCTCGAATTAGTTCTCGCAGTCGAAACTAATTTCATTATTTCTTTCGATATCTACAAATATTCCTTTCTCGATATTAATTTGATCTTTTTATAATACATTCCTCCGAAACAATGTTATACTTAAGAAATAATTTATTGTATATATTTTGCTGGAAATAACTCGGGCTTATATTTAGATATGTTTATTTAATGACTTTGTTCGATTCATGCTATTATCGTGTGACATCGAATATTTGATGAAAAATGTGATTCGGACTTGAGCGAGTTCGGATCGAGAAGTAATGCATTTTCTTTGCAATTTATTTATATTTCTATCAATAAATAATCATCTTATAATATATATATATATATATATGTTTGTCATGTATCTATCACACGAACATACAATTGGTTTGGAACCAATTAAAAAAACTATAACAATTGAAGAAAAGCATTTTTAATGGGTTCATATTCATTCGATATGTCTCTATATATATGACTATCCGCCACTTGTCAGATATTACGACGAAAATTATTATATCTTATGCAATATCCTTCCAAATACTTACTATGATCTTAGCGTAAGAAGTCAATATAAGTGACGCTCATATACGGTTGACACGGCCTGTTCAGAACTTTTGCTGTCACCCGAATACGGATGACGCGACAGTCAAAGTGTTAACAGGAAAGTATGATAGCCGAGGAGTTATTTAAACAGCTGTGTAGTTTATTTATAAATTCCGCCGTTAGATGGCATTACATATGTCGATAATATTAACACCTACTTTATCTACTTTAGATGACTCTATTAATATCTCTGGCAACTTTCTTCGTATCAAGAATTTAGGTTATGTGTAATATATCTAATACTAACAGTTATAATACTTATTAATTGTTAATGAAAAAAAAGAAATCAATCTAAATAGGTAAGGCAGAATGAGTGATTAATGTTAATAATGTATTTCTCATACTAATACTCACTCAAATAATATTACAGTTAACGTTTTATCATATCAAGTCAGGTACTTGGAAAAAAAATGCCTATAAAATATATTGGTCGCACAACAGATTTTAAAGGGAAGACGTTGTGGGAAATTTTGGGAAATTTAAAAAATTTTGGTGTGGGAAGAATGGTAATACGCAATAAATTTCAAAGATATCCTGAACCTTGTTACATGAGGATATTAAAAATTGCTACTCTACCTGCACCAACGATGAAAAGTCCCAATGTACATTATAAGACTATTCATAATATCTGTCCGTATAAATCAATATATATATATTGTAATGTATTAACTTTATTATATAGGATGAGCGTAAGATCGTAGCTCTTATTCAAAATACCTTCCGTGGAAAAACATGTGAACCAGAGCAAATAGATGGATCAACTTATAAAGCAGATTTTATTTTGATACCTAAGGATGAGGAGGATAAATATTTGCGTTACAGTGAAACATTTGACATGAAAGTAGTACCAAGAACAATGGATTATCCACCTCTTCTTAAAGAAATAATAAAACGACAAAAAAAATCAGAAAAATTATTGAACGAAGAAGATCCAAAGATGGAAATTGTCTATCGTTGGTACGGAGTTAAACGATACAGATTAGCAGAAGAAGGAGAAACGCCAACTGTAAACTTTGTAATAGGTCTTGGAACACCTAACAGTCCTAGTCTTTATGCGAACATTAAAAAAGAATCATCGACTTAAAGACTTATTACAGAATATATATATATATATATGTATATATATATATATATGAAGGTACTTTATTTTAAAATAGATTTAGATTTAATAAATAATATTAATGTACCTTTATAGTTTTATTTCTATTATATTAACAAAGTAATATTATATTGTTTTCTTATACTTTCCTAGTAATTTATAAAATTCACACATATCGTCAATTTGCCCTTCCATTTTCGGTTTCTCCTTTGATCCTAAAGTTATATTACGTCCTTCATATTTCTTACTTTTTTTACTAGATCGATAAGAAGAAACATTATAAATATAAAAGTACCTAAATCTTCGTCCATGAAATTCTTAGTAATATCTGCTTTCTCCTCTGCAAGAGCCTACAATATATCCACAACAATAAGACATTAATATAATATTGATATCCAGTAAGTACAATTACAAATACCTTCCAAAATTGTCTCATTTCTTGTACATTATCGCACTTTCTAACTAACCAGCCACGGACATATTTTTGTATATACAAAGCTGCTTCATCCTTGGTTAAGAGCCAGGACAATGGAAAGATGGGTCTCGGACTATAGAATGTATTCTTTTAAATATTTTATATAATACTTTAATTATCCTACCTCATCTGACCGTACTGTAAACGTAATAATAACTTAAATTGCGGTATCTCAAATACCGTGTGCCATTTAAGTGCACGTTTTGGATATTTTGGATTAAGATTCCACAAAATTTCAGCCAAATAATCAAGGCCATTAAATCGACACTTCTGTATCTAAACACGATTTGTAAAAATAATTACTTTTTATAGAATATATTATATTCAATGTAACAAGATATATATATATATGTATAATTTACTCGAAGAGCGTCCCATCGACGAGCTTCGACTAGCATATTTTCCATCGCTGGTAATAATAAAGGAAATATTTTTCTATTCAAATAGTTAGATACTCCATCTTGATAAGGTATTACGATCGACGAACGTTCCTTTTCTTTTTTCCATTCGGTGTACTCTGATTGTTTTTTCTCGTACTCGTCGATAATAGATTGCCACAAATTTTCCTCTTGTTTATCATTGATATTTAATTCTTGTAAAGAAAAACTTTCTGCTCTTTGACATTGAACGTTATTATTATTAGTTTCTACATCCTGATAGCAACCAGAACAAATTTCATTTCCGGCGATATATTCTTTGGCTAATCTAGAAAACATCATTTCTTCTTAAATAAATGATTAGTCTTATTCAAATAAAATCATCTCTTCTTTTTTTTTTTTTTATTCGTTCGAAGAAAAACAAAAAAGGAAAAATAAATCAAAGTACGCGATCGATCAATCGAAACGTAATTAATGTGTCAATAACGGAAGCATATTTCGTTATGTCCCATCAGCATTTAAGCTCGTGCAAAATTGTAATATGAAAGAAAGTGCTATAATAATAATAAAAAAAAAAATATCGAACGTTGCGCTTTCAAAAAAACTTTATTAAAATATGTATCTAAATGAAGGATGCTTCATCTTCGATTATAATTGTCCAGAAAAGTTTAAGTTTTCAGATAAACTGTGATGACATAGCCTATGTAGAAAATTGTTGTTAAATTTATCCGTAGATATATTAAAGTAATCGAGGCACATAAATGCTTAGTTGTTCTCCAAAATGTCCCACATTGAGACGTCAAATTAGGGAAGAAGGTATTTTTTCTTTTATCTCTAACGCAATATTCAATGTTTGCGAATAAGATTGGAAAACAAGGAAAAAAGATAAATAAATAAATATAAATAAAAATAAAAATGTTTCATAGTTAAAAAATCAGGTTGGACAGATGAATATATGCGAAACATCGTCGATGTCCAGAGAGTGGACATCGCAGAGGATTGGGATCGAAAGGTGAAACCGGATCCACGTAAAGGAACACGTAGAATACCAATAAATTCTCTTAGAAGGATTACCGAAGAGCCAACGATAGAACATGACGAACGATATAAGGAGAAAGATAAACGGGCAGATTATCCCAATAAAATAGTTCAAAATTCTATACGTATCACTGATTACAAAGAAGTTATCGATAAGGATGAAATTCCTTTGGCTTCATTGAAACAAGAAACTATTTATTATACGGAAGAAAGGGAAATCACTCGTAGAGCTTCACCGTTGATAGTTGAAAGAATTAGTCCTGAAGTATTGAAGCCACAAATACCGAAAGAAAAACAAATCGAAAGTCCGATCGAAGATCAGGTTTATGAGGAAGAACAGGTGGACGATACTGCAATAATCTATTCTAGGATTGATTCTAAAGAAATCGATCACAAAGAAATTTCTAGGATACCTCCTGATAGAAAAATAACGATAAAGGAACAGGAAAGAATCGGTGAAAAAGTGGACGATAAGATAAAAATTAAACGTAGAGACGATTCCCCAGATAGTTATTACAAATATACACCTAAGGAACTTCCTAGCGACTGGCCGCACGATGGTTGTGATGAAGCTTGTCTCGCAAGAGTATTAAAAGGCAAGAATTAAGGAATCCTTTAGATACGACTTATAGATACCTATTTTCTAAATCTTTTCTTTTCTTTTTTTTTTTTCGACTTTTAGAACATGCCGAAAAGTTGTTGCAAGAAAAGAAGAAGAAGGATCGTTATTTGACGACAGGATTAAGTTATTTCGACGACGTTTGTACCTGTTCCCTTAGTTGTATGATATGTAATTTGAAAAAAGATCGTTTCGTATGTAGTATATTAACGTCCGCAATTTTATTCTCCTTTGGTATAAAACTATGTTCGGAATTATATGGCTGGTACTTACCCAATCGCACTTGACAAAGTCAAGGCTAACTTTTACGAGGGAATGAAAGAACAGAATAAAAAAAAAAAAAGAAAAGAAAAGAAAAAGAAAAGAAAGAAAAAAAAGATCAATTTAATAAAAATAAATATGATTGAACATTTGTTTAATATCTCGCAATTTTTTGTTTCAAAAGTATTCTAATTGTACAAAGCAAAGCCATTATAATCGATAACGCAAAAGCAACGAAGACATAAGGGATGATCAAGTGAAAATGAAAAAGATCTTCTCGAACGATCTTTTCTTTGGGAAGATTAACTCTAAAGGAAATGTCATTTTCCCAATCGATGGTATTATTATGAGTTTTAACGCTTCTGGATCTTCTGTTATGACCTGCTGGACAATTCAAAATACAATCCGGTCCTTCTAAACAACCCGTTACCTTAACAGTTAAAAATATCTCGTCGTTCTCTTTCATATTTTCAAACATGAAAGCTTGAAAGATAAGATAAGTTTCCAAAGGCGATATTCGATACTGTTCTCTTGAACAAATCTTTCGAACATCCGGATTCAAACATCCATTGCTATCCAAAATCCATAAACTGTTCATTATTTTCTTTCGTTGTCTCTTTTCTATATAATGAACCGTCAATTCACCAATCCTCGAGTATTGCCAGCCTGAAAATAAAATTTTATCGATCTCTATTACGCATATCTCATAAATTTTTTCATTAAAGAACATTTTTACCATTTCCATCTCGCACGAGAACGCGCAATAATACTTCTTCTCCCAAAATAACGGTGTCTCCGGACTGTATTCTAGTGTCAAAAACTTTCTCGGAATGAAATGTCTTTCGAAACAGTCCGACGTCGATCTCCAAATTATTTTGAGAGCCACCAGTAAAAACGCGGGGTACCATTCTCGCCGATCTATAAAATATAAGAGCAAACGTATATAACGCGATGGTAAAGACGAAAAATCATGATTATCGACTTTACGTTAATTGTTCTCACGTATCGATAGTCTTCACATTGATTTTTTTCGTACGAGAGACAGTCTTTTCTTGTACTTTGCAGCGCAAAGTGATCTTCGTGTCGTCTTTCAATCTAAGACCCGGTATCAGTGGAAATCTCAGATCGAGACAGTAGAATCTTTCGGCTTCCGTCGAACATGCAACAACGCCGCAATGTCGAAATCGTTCCTTTTCTAAATTGATCGTGTACTCGTTTTTCACTCTTGTAAATTTACATACCTCATCCTCTACATTATCTATCACGGGCGATTCCATCGACGTAGTCGTTTTTACGGATGCTCTGAAAAAAAAAAATTATGTTGTCAGATAACCATTACGAGAGGAGGGATATCGTTCAAACCGTTATTCCAATATCATACTTAAAAAATACATCGTCGTCCGTATCGCGACAAGATATTTCTTCTATTTGGATGTCATTCTCTTGCGATAACGATATATCGGCATTATTTATGCTTTCGGTCGTACTCGAGTGAACCCGTTGAGAGGATCTGACTTGCAAATGAGAAGATGGTCGCCGATAATAATATCGACCTTCTCGTCCGTTGACTCCAAATGGAATCTCTTCGTTGTTCTCCATAGCAGTTGAATCGATCGTTAGAGACGACGACGCGTTCTTCGATGTTTCGTCTATTTCCATTATTCGAGGGATATTCGTTGTCTCTTCGAACGGTACATAATGATTCACCACTCCGGAGTCATTGTATTTTCGAGAGAAATTGATCAACACTGTATCCTGCGGCTCTAAGGAAGCCGCACAGTCGAACGACAATATTGTTAATACGATCAGCAACAGGTAGTTACGCGTCTACGATGTCGAACAGAAAAGAAAATAATTAAAATTTTTAAGATCGATAGAATATTAAAGAACAAATAAACGTCTTCGTTCGAAATAATAATCAACTATAAATTTTCCACCTGTCCTATTCGCGTCGATAAGAATTTCTCTGCGATAACATGTAATAATATCGAATCGTAGAAGGACCGTGTCATTTTCGTAAGATCAACTACAAAAGACTGGCAAACTTGTAGAGTTTGATGAACGCTTTTAAAGGTTCTCCTTTTATTCAAGCGATACCTTTGTCACATTGTTCGTGGTGTGTGAATTTATGGGGACACCAACGATGTCCATTATTAGGTACATACGATCTTTCGTGATTCGACTGATGAAGGAGTACTTAGCATAAAACATTATCTGTATCCTCGATTTTAACGTCGCGTCCCCCATTAACGTCGATATCGGATTACTCTGTATGCGTTCGTCTGTGTATTCGTTCGTCGTATAAACCAGCGGTATTATATTCCAAACAATTCGGGTCAAAGAATTTCTTTCAAGAGAAAGATTACACGAGACGCATATGTACGAATTACGAATGGTTTCTAATTGCGTTTCTCTTGTCCTTTATATTTATCCTAAACTCATTGTTAAAAAAAAAAGAAAAACCTTACAACTAAATTACAATTATAGGAGAATAATTAGAATAACAAAATGATAGAATTTTATTTGAATTACACGCATGACAAAAAATGTTATTATTGATGTGATAAAAAGGGGAAAAAAAAGCGAATAAAAAAAAATGCTCCAGGTGAGGCTCGAACTCACAACCCCGGCATTGCTCACGAACACTGTCTTATAAGTACCGTGCGCTAACCAATTGCGCCACTGGAGCTGTTGGTAAGAGGATCGCTAAAATAATTTTTCAGTTACAAATTCGTTAAATCTAAAAATAAAATTATTAGATCGTATATTCTTTTTATTTATGCATGATTAATCATCGCAATTAATGATTTTAAACAAAAATTCATCGAAAAGGTACAAAAAAAAAAATATTAGCATATATGGAAATCGTTACCGTAATAGAAAATTTATTATTGTTTCTTTCATCAAAATCATGGAAGATTTTTATTGAAAAGATCAAAATCATAGGAAAACTTTTATCGTAGATATATATTCACTATTATTTCGTTTAAGTATACATTAATAATTTGTAGATCAATGTCCAACTATTAAATATACATGTATTGTAGATCTTAAATAAAGTGGCATAATAATATTTTTCAAACGTGAAACAAATAAAAATGACTTGACATTTTTCAAGGTTTGCCAAACAAATCGATTCAACATTCTTTACGTACATATTACTTTGTAACAATAAAAATTATTTTGTGATTTTTTGTGACGAATTCAAATACGAAATTTTATTATTAATTCATTGATTATAATTTTCAAATTTTTCTTATCTAAACAATATTATAATTGATCTTGAGTATATTCATCACCCTTGGTTTTGTAATGGTTTATGCTAACAATGAGTACAGGCGTAATCCTTGACCAATTTCGATGAATAAAATCTCATTTTAAAGAAGAAGGTTTAAACGAGGACACGACTTTTTCGAATTCTTGAAAAAGCTTTATTTGTTTTAAAAAAATATCGCGTCAAAGAATTTTTCTAGTCAATTTTTAAATAATTTCAGTTAGTATCGATCAATAAAGAATTGTTTAAATTAAATTTTTATTTGTAATTAATTATAATAAATATTACCTATATTCGACAGAATGTAATCAGGTTTTTATGTACAATAAATGCATAATATTTTCTTACTGCGCTTATAGTTCATATTTTGTTCATAATTATCGCTGAAATCATATACATTATGGGCCAAAGATGATGAGCAGCCTTCAAAGATCACTTTCTTGAAATATATTTTGCTCTTTTCGTGATACGCGTATATTAAACGAACCTATCTTTTTTGTTGAGTAAAATGCATTCCGCGCCAAAAAAAAAAACAAGATCGGAAACTTAATCTAAAAAAAATAATCTCCTCGAAATAATATTAAATGAATAAATTGTGATCCTATCTATGTAATGAATTCTAACTTCAAATCAATAACATTATAAATTAGAAACATTAGAATGTTTGAATTAGTGATTACAAGACATTGATTTGTATTTACACTGCATATATATATACATACATATATATATGTACATATCATATATATATACATATACATATACACAATTAATATACATATACATATACATATCATATACATATCATATACATATATATATATATATATTTATGTGCTTCGTCGATAGCGTGTATATACATAAAACAAATTGATAATATTTGAAACTTACAAAATAACCTGTAAAAAGTGTACTCTTAATCACAATTCCATCGCGTATAAAGATGATACGCGAATTGTTTTATTTTAACTTATTTATTCTTACGTCATATAAATATGTACATATATCCAGTCATGTTTTGAAACTATTATTAATGAGGTGAATAAATTGAATGAATAATCGGAATTACAGTGACGATAAAGAAAAACATATGACAATACATTGAAAATCGAAGAATCCAATATTTTCACAAATAATGTTGGCAATAAAAGAATAGGTTGACAAGACTGATCTGCTCAAGTTTGTCGACTGCTAATTATGTTTTGACAAGTACACGTAGCTGTTACCTAAGTATTATCAAAAGTCACATTTATCTTTTTTTATGCGAAGAGGAGTTCACGTAAAAATTTTGATATTGTGAAAAAAAGGATATTCGAAGAGCGTTGTCCCAAAAAAAATGTTAATACAAGGTTCATCTAATGATTCTTCATTCGACTACGTCAAGTAACGTTGTTAATAATTTTAAATATTTATTTTTTTCATATTTGAGAACAATGTGGCGTTAATAATTTTATCATTTTTTTTTCGAATAGATACAAGCAAATCCTTTAGTTTATTTATTTACATTATATTTCATATTGATCTTTTAAAATTGTTCTTTCTCAACAACAGAATTCTATTTGCTAATGGTAGTCAAGGTTTTTAAATTATTAATATCTATTGAGTACAAATATAATTTTTAATATAAGAACCTTTATCTGGTCATGTTCCTCAATGAAATATATTAATCTATTTTAGATATGAAGAAGAATGAGTTGGTTTGATGCTACAGGATTTGCCAATTTGGCAAAATCTGCTCTCAAAGAAGCTCAGAAAACTATAGATAAAGCTTTAGATATTAAAGATGAAGAGGAAAAGGTAATTCAAACTCATTTAGATGAAGCATCAGACTTTTTTGCAACTTGGGAATTAAAAAGCGACGAAGAAGGCAATTCACAAACTAAAGTATCAAGTCAAAAACAACAGAATACTAGCAGTATATGGGGAAGTTTCACAGGATCATTTTTTGAAATTCCTAAATTTGGAGATAAAAGTACAACAAGTAATATTAAACATTCCAAGTCATTACAAAGTACGTCAATAGAAAATTTAGAGAAACGTCAGCTTACACCGTCGTCGTCTCTTCCTGGGAATTTAACTAGCGAAGAATTTTCTATTCTTCTGAAAGATAATGAAGAATCACCTATACATGTTTCAAAAGTATCATGTGAAAAATCTGATGTTAATGCATCAAAAAAATCTACAAATGAAATTCCATCAGAATCTAGTAAGCAAGATGAAAAGTATTCATCAGAAAATACAAATACTATTAAAGTTGAAGTATATGAAACACAAAAGGATATTAATGTGGTAAAATGTAATGTGAATGAAGACGACATTACTCAAAATTTAGACGATGTTGTTAATAAAAAAGATAATAAAAGAAATATCAGTGAAAATGAAGTGGAAGAACAGAAGAAAGAAGATAATCAAGAGGAATCAAATATATGTAGTACATTAAATAGAATATCTATCATTTCTTCTGATAGTGATAAAAAGAGTTTAGAAAGTGTAGAAATTCTTGGCTCTCAATCAAACACCGATTGCACTACAACTCCAGAATCTGATGCTAATTCGGTTAGTGATTCGATAGGGCCATGTGCTGTAGGTCTTAAAGTGAATTCAGAATCAGTGGAAATATTGCCAGATAGTCTGGTAACGTCTCCAAGTTCTGTAGAAATTCTAGGAGAATGGAAAAGTGATAGTAGTCCTTATTTATCACCTATAGAACAAAGACATTCTGAATCGTCTTCTATATTAGATAGAGATGGTTCTACTACTCCTTGTGAAGACAATATTAATATGTGGGGAGATGAAGGTAATATTATCCAAAAAGATGTTTCATCTTTGAATATATCTCCATATTTATCATCCATAGAGAAAAATAAAACAGATCCTAACAATGCTAGTAATGCATCATTACACGATAACTCTGTCACTTCTCAAACAAGTAATAGTTTATCTGTCATAGACAGTAATAAAGCTTCGCCAGAAAGTGTTGAAATAATACCAGATGTTGATGACGTGGATGAATTAAGTCTAGCTGAAGATTCTTATACCTCTGCATCTGAAAGTACTGTAATGACTATTATGGAAACATTTCAACAATATGATCAAACAAAACAAAAACTGGAGTTTACTGGTATAAATGTTAAAATGCATGAATCTTATCAGGAAGGCAAACAAGGTTTATTAAAATCTTCTATGGAATCACAATTAAATACAAGTCTTGATTCTTTAAAAGAAAAACACAATTTACATTTACCATTAGAACCTATTACAACTCAACCAATTCATAAATCAGAACATCTAGAGTCTGTAAGCAAAATAATGGAAGTAGATCCATTTAGTCAATTAACGATAGAACCACCAGAAGTTGAAGGTGACAATGAAAATGAACAGTTGCAGAGAACAGAACCAGTTGAATGTACCGATCAAGTTTTAATTTTGACAGACTCTAGTTGCGAAGGAACACTGATCGAAAGTAGCTCTGAAGATAATGCAACATTAGTTTCTTCTGCTGCTACTAAAGTTGTTGAAACCCATTTAACAACTAGCTCCTATGTAAAAACAATGTTAGCAGATGCGATGGTAGAAAAGCATGAAATTATAGATGTACAGACTCATTCAACGGATGTGGCACGTGAAAATTCACCAATCTCTTCAGAAAGGTGTGTGTGTGTGTGTGCCTTTTAGAATATTCATATTTTTCGTATACGTTTCAACATTGTATTTTCTAGTTTTAGTCGTTCTGATTTGGTAAAAATTGGATCTGATCAGACTAGTGGACATACAAGCGGGGATGAACTAGAAACTACAACATCGAGTGATATTGAAGTAATATCAAGGTACATCATGTCATAATAATCGTTAAATTAAATTTAACGTCAATGGCAATGTATTAAAAATATTTTTTATTTAGCCCTAATGGAGATTCAAGCTCCACTCAGTCAAGGCAAAGTCCAGCAAAATTACAGATATCCAAAGGAAACGATCTGTTGACAAAAACATTGAAGACAAGAGGTCATTCCAGAGAACTTAGTGAAATTAGTATAGGCTCAGATGAAACCAATTCAGAAATAGAAAAATTATTAAAACGTATTCAAGAAATGACTGAAGTATTAGAAGCGCGAGAATCGAAATTGATTGATGTTAGCAGAATAAATATGGAATTGCACGAGCAAAACAATAGTTTAAGGAAGTAAGTATTAGTTTCAAGTATGTTAAAAAGATATATACTTAATATTAGCTAAACAAAGGATTGTTTCATTGCTAAAAAGAACATCATTCGTGCTTCCAATTTCAGACAATTGGATAGTTTTGAAAAACGTGCAGAACAAAGTCAAAGCTTAAATCAAATCACTGACGAGTATACGCAACGCTTGTCAGCTTTGGAAAGAAAATTTCAGCAAGCTATAAGAGAAAGAGATACGTTACGAAAAAATCTAGAACAATTAAAACAAGAAGCAGCAACACGATTGTCGTCCCAAGAAATGTCCAGTATTAATGCAGAAAAGGATGAAATTATTAAAGAGCTTAGAGAAGAAGGAGAGAAACTTAGTAAACAACAATTATTGCATAGCAATATAATAAAAAAATTGAGAGTTAAAGAAAAAGAAAATGATGCTCTTATCAAACATCAAAAGTATGTATGTGTAAAGTAACATTATTTTACACTATTTTACACTATTTAGATTATAAGTTAGATCATGATATATACTATAATTCAGTTTGTAGTTTTTATTTAAATCTTCTCAACACAATTACAGAGAACTTATTGAAGAACAAAATTCAGAGTTGGAAAGATTGAAACGATCATTACATGCAAAGGAAGAAGTTGAACGAACACAAATAGAAGCTGTACATACATTGACAGCAAAAACAAAGAAACAAGAAAAGGAAATTTTAACTTTACAAGAAAAATTAGATAATGCATTGCATAAAATGGATGCTTACAAAAAAAGTTTAGAAGTTGCAAAATTGTTAGTATACAGTAACGATTTTTTTCGCGTAATTTTTAATAATAAGTATTTCATATTTAATGTCTATATGTCAGTTTCTATTCTATAGGGATTTAACAGAAACAAAAAAGAATTTAATAGATACAGAACAGGAACTCAAACAAGCTGTAGACAATGCCAGTGAATCGTGTCAACTTTTTGCACAAGTAGAAGAGCTCAAAATTAAGCTGCGCCAAACAGAAGAAGCAAATGTTAAGTTAGTTGTATCTTGTTATTAAATTATCACTTAAATATACATACATGTCTATATTTCTATCTATGTAAATATGTATATATATATATATATTTTTTTTTTTTTCGATAATATAGGAAAGAAGAGTTCCTTAAACAGGTGAATAATACCTTACTAAAAAGATTAGC